CTGATGGTACTAATATTCATAAGCTAGAAAGTTAAGTTTGAATGTTTCGTAAGTGACAGGGTTGAGAACTTTTAACAAACACTCATTAATTAGGTGATTCACTAATGTTGTAACGACAGAAGACAAAGACCAGGCAACAGAGTGTTTATTGAGAAAATCAAGATACATTTATAGATTTTCGTGTACATTATTATTAGCGTTATTGTAAGCAGAGAAGCAACGTCTTCTGATCGGTTATTTTCTCGCTGAAGGTTATTTTGTACTGCTTACAAAGTTTTCTATATATTTGCGACTCATATTTGCACACGTTAAGTTTGCTGTGATTGGTTGTTGAATTCCTGAAGGTTAGGCTTTGTTCTTGTTCTTCCTCATGACTCCGATTCGGAACGTAAACATTAACGTAAATTGCTGCCTACAAATTTGGCTTGCAGACAGCTCTCACCACAATTTTATCTGGTTGATGATCTTCCTGCCAGTATCAGTGATATTTAGGATATAAGTAACCAACGGATGAGATCAAACATAATATTAATCATAGAATGATCTAAGTGCGACAGATTATACACTAGTGAACCCCGTGTATGCTATTTAAAGCCCACATGAGCAGCTTCATTCTTAAGCGTACACTAATTTGTATTGCAATGTAGTCATTCTTGAGTATTTGTGCCTAAACACAATATCTTCTACTATACGAGTCATTGCAAAGGAAATTCATCTGTAAATGTGCGAATTGACTCGATAATATATGATAGTGTATGGGGCTAAGTTACAAGCATATTTTAGTGGAGTGTTACGTTAACTTTACTTAGAGGTGACAAATTTATATGAAACATCACTTCGCTGAGACTTGACTTCCCACGGATTTCGATTAATGTTAAGGTCAACTTGGAAATCAATTAATCCAGTGTATAAATACTCTCAATGAACAATAATCATATGTAATTACTAATATTATTCCTTTGGGTTGTGATTGAAAAATAGGGCTTCAGCAGGAACCTGCTTTCTACACTTTTGTTTAGTTGGCTTCACAAATGCTCATAAGCCTTCACACCCTGATCATTTCACTCCCCGGCACTCACCTCTTTGTTTCCCAAACGGACTCCATTCGAGGGCCTGCTGAGTGACATCAATCAACGTTCTTCAGCAAATATCTTGGCTAATAGGTTCTCAGTTGTTTCTTAGCCAAGATGGTACAGTTAGTCATTCTTTATTTTCTAACAATAACTATTTGACCTGATTTCACCTGAGTTAATTTGTACTATCAGTTAAAACACTGTTCTCTTGACTCCCAACTGTATGTTGAAATAAAATTGAGGATTTATACCTTAGGATAAAGATAAAAGAATATTTCATAAACTCTCATGCAAATGTCAACTACAGAATCACTGACATATACCAGCAGTGGTTTATTTTTAGAATAACAGGTTAACTGATGCTCAAACATTAGTTTTCAAGTTTTAGCCTGGACCGAAATGCTCGGTCTCTATTGACATTTTGGCTTCTAGTGCAGATGCATCGACGATATCTGTAGACTAACGTGAAGTTATTTTGGTTGGTGGTGATTAGTAGTGGAATCCAGGATGCCTATTTCATCTTGTTGAAGGGAAATGCGAAATTAACATGAAAAAAATAATAACTGATCACGTCTGCACAAGACGTGGTCCATGTGACCTTTATGACCTAGGCGATGATGTTATGACGTTCTAAACAATAGATTCGACTCTCAGCGGGAACTCTATATCAATTTGTTTAGTAGATGTATCTATCACATAGTGAAACAGTATTATTTACGGATGACATAGTTTAGAACACAGTTTATTATTCACAATCATACTAATAAAAGTTACAACTTCGAAACATTCTTTTCATAGTTTTCTTGATTCTTTTCTATTCATTGTAATGGGCAATAGAATGTTCTAGACGTCTGGCTGTACAGGCATTGAATCATTCCTATTACACGTATTATCAGCTAACTTGATCTCTGTCCTGTTATATTGAATTTTAGGACGATAATCTTACCCTTAATTTGGAAGATATGCAAGTGAAAAGCAACAAGTTGGCAGAAGAAGCATCCACAGAAGATAGGACCTCAGGTGAACATAGAGAAAACAGAAGTAGGTGATGAAGATTCCTGGCCAACAGCAGTAGCCATAACAACAACAACATACAACATTCAACATAAATGGGAGGAGTCTGAAAGAGGCAACCTCCTTTACCTACCTGCCTGGCTGGGAAGCATCATTTCAACTACAGGCGAATGGAACTAATGAGGATGTCAAAGCGAGGATCGGACAAGCAAGGTGAGCTTTCCCTACTTTCAAGTCTGTGTGGAGGTCAACAGCACTCTGTATGAGAATGAAAATAAGATCCGGATTTTCAACTCCAATGTTAAGTCAGTCACTGCTACTATGTGGATCACAGACTTGGCACCACGCCGCATCACGAAGGGCATTTCGAACAAACCACAGACACTCATCACTAGCTGTCTTTGCTCAGTACTAGTCAAGATCAGATGGCCGACCAGATAAGATCAGCAGCAGGGATCTCTGGTATAGATCGAACCAACCAGGAACTGATTATGAAACAAATAAGCAGGAAGAAATGGAGGTGGATTGGCTGGTCATACGCTGAGAAAACAATCCGTCAAGTGACATCACTAGACAAGCCATCGCTCGAGTGGAACCCGAAAGTGAAGCGGCGAGTTGATCGTCATTGCAAAGGTGACTTGGAGGAGGTCATGTGGAGAGGAGATGAAAGCATGTGGGCAGACTTGGAGCCAGGTGAAAACTCTAGGAGAGAACCGAACGCAATGGAGGCGCTTGGCTGAAGCCTTATATTCCTCTTGGAATTAAAGGAAATAATAATATGAACTCAAACTATTGTATAGTTGCGTGTAGTTGCACGTAGTGCTATAGCTGAGCTGTTTTCTACATTTCTTATCCTATTAGGTTCGACTAATTTAAATTTTACAGGGTTTTTTTGCTCTTAGAAGAAATACTATCACTCACTGGGAATGTAGGTGCATCCACCTAAGTTGTCTCAAACAGGATGAAATACGCATTCTGAATTCCACTGGTAGTTACCAATAACCAAAATAGATTTTTAAGTGTTTATCTTATATAGATTTGATTGATTTTAAGTTTGATTTGATCACGAATTGGTGCAATTTAGAGAAACATTGAAAATCACCAGGAAAGACTGGACAGCTCTTTCATAGCAATTTTGAACTCTTTAAAATTATGCATTCACATGCCACACCAGAGGTCAATCGTAAAACCTTTAGATTACAACGTGGACATATTAATATTCAGTATTTGGGGCTGAATCCAATTGTACATGGATTGTAACTTCTGCCAGTCAGCATCGTTGGTGAATATCTGTCCGCATCCAGTACACTTTGATTTTCCTTCATTCTCTAGTCGATGTTGTTCCACACTAAGGGAATGATAATATGGTAAATACGATAAGCATGATACATGAACTTTATATTTTTGATTCTGAAACAAGCTAGTATATAAATGTACTCAGAAAATTGAAATACTCATTGGAATCATGAATTCTTATAATTAGGAAATACGGGTGTTGAGAGTATTTCGAATACCAGCTATCTATTTCTTAATTCATTTAAGCAAGTGATGATTTTTACCAGAGTGACTGGTAACCAGGGTCTAAGAAATGCCAGGTGTTGACCTCTTGTTGGTGTGGGTGCAAGCGGAATCCCGTCAGTCAAGTTTTCACAGTGACTACCAAGCTAAGATGACTAATAATCGGTGTGTCTTCTTTGAACTGATGTTAAATGAATGGAGGCAGTTGGCATAAAGCTCGAGACTGAAGTTCCGTACTTGTTGGAAGTTATCAGTAAGGCGTACCTACAACTTTGGAGAAACTGAGATCATGTCTCAAATTCGACACAGCTTCAACTAGTCCTGCAACCAGAGTTTTTATTAATTAATTATTCGAACTGTTTCCTGATCTCCTATGGAGTGGCTGGACTGATTAGTCACTGACAACAACGTTAACAACAGTAATAATAGCTTTATTCTGACAAGTGCATTCGAGCACAGTACCGAATTCTCAGTGAGTTTAATAGAGAGGTATTCTCTCCTTATATATAATCTTCAAATAATATAATAGCCGGTGTTATGTCATCTGAAGCAATATCGTTCCATCCAAAGCAGGTTGCAATACTACTTTACAATGTTGTTTTCCCATTTTCTTCGAAAAATTCTAAACGATAGGTAGAAACTTATTTAAAATTGTTCGCGAGTATAGATTGAGACTCGTTGTAGTAATTAGATGATTAAAATAATAGGTGAAACAGAGCAAATACAATGCATTATGATTGCTAGAAAATTTAGGTGGCTCAGTGGTTTAAGCAGGCCGCCTAATTAATACGTGTAGGCAGTAAACACTGCTGTATAATTCTGCCTTCTTGTTGTTGGTGCTGATTGAAACGAGTTAACACGGCTTTACTTAAGACTTAATAATGTTATTGAATTATATTAGGCAATGCGATTAAACAACGACAGTTCAGTGATAGAATGATCGGCAACAACTAAACGTGATTTTTGTTCGATCCCTGACTGACTCACTTCCAGACCTCCTCTAACGGGCAGTAAAGTCAATAAGGAAGAGAGAATTAGTGTGAGGCTAGAGAACCCATCCAGTGACGCAACAGCATCACCACTACTGAAAACTGAAGCCTTAGTTCCTACTCAAAATGCTAAACATTGGAGAAAGAAGACCGTATTAAGCATCAGTATTTTATTTTAAATGGAATACAATTTCATTAGAGAGATAAATTGTTTTGAATACTGAATCATGCAACTTTGAAGGTTTACAAAGGTTTTGCAAAGAAAATCAATAAGATATATCGATCCAAGAGTTTGATAATAATAATAATAATAACAACAGAAAACAAACAAGACATAAAAAGAACATATGCCCTTCAAAACTTCAATTCACTGTCAACATTTATGATTTTAGAATATTATCTTAAATTAAGCAAAGAAGGGTATTGAATTGGAACTTTTTGGTGAAGAAGGATTCATTGGGAAAAACAATATCTGCCTGCTGATTGGACTCCTCGCTTGTTTGATGTTTTGATGTGTAACCGTGTGAAGGGGAGAAAAAGAGTTGAATGGGGAAAAAACGAAAGAGGATTATCGGTAATATTAATTTAAAGGTATATTCAATCATATTATTATTATTATAAGAGACATAATGTTATTCTCAGGTTTCACTTACCAAACCATTTTACCGAGCAGATTATGATACGTATCTTTTTTAAATGAATTAATGAAAAAATACTATCAGTTGTCACGTAACCAGTGACGAAATTTCCCAGAGCGAAATCTCTGCCGGACTGTAAGTGACGGGTGATGATGATGATAGAAATAGGCGTGTCATTTACTTGACACACAGTAAATGACACCACATCATTCTACGCCTTAAAAAAATATTCATACCAAATATAAAACGAGACTACTAAAGTGTATTAAAAGACTGATTAGAAGGCAAAGAATAATCTTGTACCTATCGGTTCCCTTCTCCTGATCATTGCTTTAGTAACTTAGTTTTTCGTGCTCAGGAACACCTATCTACTAGTCTGGCCGAATAAACATTTGATTTTTTGATTTTTGATTTACAGCTTGATTCCACACTGTATTTTCGGTACAAGTATGGAATTTCCAGCATGCGATATCGGTAGCCCAAATTTTGCAGGCCGACCATAGATATCAGGTGTGCGTTGGTGCGGGCTCACACCTCGGACCATGTGCATGGTAGGCGAGAGTCCTAACCACTGTGCCACCGACATGTAGAGAAAGCCATCGAAACCTCACTGTTAGACAACTTTGTCCGAACAAACCATAAAGCCGGCAGTGAAGAATCTTTTCCTATTATTTCTCCGATACCATATAAATTACCGAAAGCCTCCAGGTACCAAATGCATAAAAAATAGCAAAGGCTATTGCAGATCCCTTAAAACAACTAAAGCTCTGTGTATAAAAGAAGCAGGTTTAGCCACTATCGCCTTCTTGTCCTGCTATCGAACCTATAAATGTATAAATTCTGTATTCTATTTCTTAATTTATTATTTACAGATGCTTCTGAACTGTAATCTACTGATCCTGATGGTTCAGCACTATTTAAAACACATTATTATTGTTAATAATAATAATAATAATAATAGTAATAATAGTCAGCCCATTACGGCTGATACACCTACTCATGGAAGTGAAGTAATTAACACACAAAACCAATCAACTCCTTATGCTAAGACCTAGAATTGTTACAGACCAGTCCTGCAGCATTCTCTTACATTAAACAGGAACGGAACCCATGCCAGATACTCTAAGGTGTTCAAGAGACTCTGCATTTTGTCAGAGTCATCCACTAGAAAGCAAATATCATCTGTATACTTTAAGTCAACAAGACTGTCCTTTCATATGTCTTCTAAACATTTTAGTGGAAATCTCTAGTCAATTAAAGTATATCAGATTCTCTTTAAGATTTCTATGCTGTGTGTAATACACAGTGAGAAAAACTTGTATGTATTGTTGATATGTAATAATTCACAAATCCTCCAAAAAACAATTTCTTACCCATATTTTTCTACAAGCTTATCCTTATTAAATGCTAAAATTATATGCTTTGTGAATGAAATATTCATACGCCTATATAAAATACTGTCGTTGAATTCTGTCTTCTTATTAATCACATGTTATGTCTCATGATACTCTCATTTCCTTACTGTTTTAAACCATTTTTATTATAAACTTCACACATTCAATCATTCTTTTTTCTTTATATTATATTTTCTATAGTTGGTTTGTAAGGATTAGTTCTGTTTCTACGAGTTGATCATGGATTGATATCAGTTAGAGAGCCATTGAAAACCAAGGCCTACTGGACAGCTATCTCATTCTATTTTCGGGAATCATCGGCAGTAAGCACCCACAACCGGTGTTCGAACCCAGGACCTTCCGGTCACAAGGCATGCTCGTATACCATTCAGCCACTGGGACCCAATTTAATGACCAGTGCATGAATTCTAACTTCTATCAAATGTCAGTTTTATTTCAACTATCCGAGTATTTCAGTTGTCATTATTATTCCCTTGGGTCGAGAGTGGTACATAGAATGTCAGCGGTAAATCTCCCCTTTCATCCTATTTTCTGCAGTCTTTTCTAGCTAACTCTACGACTGCACAAAAGCTTTCATTTCTGTCTCACACGGTCTCCTCTATGTCACGATCTCACACACGCCCAGTTCTTTGTTTCCCATTCAGGCTCTACTCGAAGCAGGACCTGACGTGTGGTATCACTCAATAGTCTCATCAACGCGTATCCGATTTACATCGATTTCCTTTCAGCATATTTGTTGGACGATAGGTTCTTGGTTAGTTCGTTATTTCAATTGTCACATTATATCATAAATCTGTAGATCTTAACAGAAACTCATCTGCTACAACAAGAAGTTATTTAGTAACTAAATGAAACCGTTAAAATTCAAGGAAAAAAAATAACTATCATGTCTTAGTTTAGAATTCCATACAATCGTAAGTATTCATAAAACCACCAGGGATGCTCTACTGTTATCGACAACAATATGACGCAGCTAATTGGTTAAACTTTTTCTCACCCAAAAGTATTCTTCGTATGTTGTTAAATAATAATATTAGCACACCATGACGAATAGAATTAATAAGAATATAAGTTGAAACTAATTTAGTGACTAAAACTATAAAAATAATTACACATAAGACTAGTTTGTTTTACAAAGAACGAGGTCAGTTTAACTCCTGATTATGCCATATTTGAAACCACAAGCTGTTGATTTTAATTAATGTGGCTTACCAATGAGATGGTGTATATATTTTGTTGTGTGGATGTCTGAACAAGTAATTTTATTCAGCAACAAGTTACTCTAGATAAAAATTAATTACTAGTTTCATGGGGTAGTAAGGGACAACATCGTTGAATCATTCAGTGCTTCTGTTGTGAGATCTGGTTGCTAGCCAAATCGGTAGACAGTAATTTACGTCAATGTTTATGTCCCAAATATTGGTCATGTGGAAACAAGGACAAAGACTGACTAAAAACCAATCACAGACTTGCGTAGGTGGAAACAATTAACAGATAAAGGATTCGACCTTCAAGAAACAGCCACAAAGAGATGAAAGATTAACTTTCAATGAGAAAAAACCAATCTGAAGACTGTGTTGTCAGCTAACAATAATCTATAATAACGTACATGAAAATCTATAAATATCTGTTGATTTCCTTAATAAACAATCTGTCGTCTGACTCTTACCTTCTGAAGTTACACTTCTACAAGTTTCAGAGACTTGGTGCATTATGATAAGTATTTACCAGCAGCTGCCCCCTTCCTTTCATACTGAAAACCATACAGTCAGCCAGAAAGGATAAGCGACAAGGAATTCTGGCGACGAACCAACCGAGAACCTATAGTCCAAAAAATATGCAGATGGAAAATGAAATGGATTGGATATATGCTGAGGAAACCATTGAATGACAGTATCATGCACCAGACCGTGCGTCAAGTGAAACCCGATTCCACAACCACTGGCTGGACATCTGAGTGTGGAATAGAAGAGGTCGTGTTTCAGGAAATAATGAATCCTTATGAGCGATCATAGGGCCAACTAGGAAAGACTCCATAGGAAAAATTGAAATGTAGGCACAACTGTTGAAGTCCTACATTCCACTGGGAACCCAAACAAATAATAATAACAAAAGGGAGCATGTATAAGAGGAAAGGAATTGCCAACAAACTTAAGATTAAATTTTTATGAACAAATTGATTAGTCAACAAACATGTTTTGACATGCACAGATATCTTTCAATATTTTTCAGATTCCACCTTTGTCAACTGACCATACATTAGATACCGATATCAGTAGTATGAAGTGCTTTTATCACCCTGGTAGTTCAATTAAGAATCTGTAAAATCTAACAAGACTGTCACACATAGATGCGTGAACATGCGAAATACAACCATAGATTAGTCGAGTAGTATGGCATGAATAACGTACATTTAAAGTATTTCATGAATAATTTAGTTTAGTTTATCATTAAACCCTTTTTATGTTCATTCACACATCCTTGAAAAAGTTTCGTCATAGATGTAGGAAATGTAAAGATAAAATTTATTGTCATAGTAGTTATAATGATAATAATAAAATTAATGACGATATGCATGCCAGGCATGCAGAACAGTGACAACACCAACAATAGGAAATTTAAATCATCAGCAGTACTTCCGTACAAAAAAATCCTCAGAAAACTAACGGAGACTTCTTAGCAAGACAGGAATAAAAGTGGCTGGCATTCAAACACACAAACTCAATTAGAAACAAGCTTTGTTGGTTGAACGATCCTGTGGAGTCTTTAAAACAAAACAATTTAGTTTATCTAATACCCTGCTCAAATGATTGTCAGGTTAAGTACATAGGTCAAACTAGTAGAACAGGGACAGTCAGACTAGCCGAACATAAAAACCTAGCAAAATCTTGATTGGTTGACCCGACAAAGATAAGAAGTCTAGAGAATAGTTCAGCTATAGCACTACATGCAGTTACACACAACCATACAATAGTCTGGGTTAAGATGACAGTTCTAAAATCCAATATAACAGGGTGGAGGCCAAATCAACTAAAAATACGCGCAATAGAAGTGATTCAACACCTGTCCCGGATATCTGGAAAATTCTGCTACCCCCAAAGCGAATAGAGGGGAATATGGGAAACTATACAATGAATATTTCGAAGTTGTGTAGTTACGATTGATATAATTGTGAATAATAAACTGTGTTCGAAACTATGTTATCCAGTAAGTAATACTATTTCACTGTGTGACATATCTAATAAACAAGTTAATATTGAATTAACAAACTGGAAATTTAAACATTCACAGATTAGGTACACGTATTAAAGCATACAACAATATTATTTAAGTTTATTTACCTTTTTTGGTGAATAATTCTGTTATAAAGCCATCAAAACTTGGGTAAATGAAAAACACTCAAAAGCACATACAACCTTATGAGAAAGATGCCAGGTAAATCACTAGTTTTACACACAATCAGTATTCAATTCTTTCATTTAAACAATATCAGGACTACGAGATATTACAGTCTGCAAGCTTCACTGATGAATACTTGACCAATACGGCAGTGATGAACTCATAATCACCTAATATTAATTCATATTCACTTAAAATGTTGAGTATTATGCTGAAAAGTTTAAAAAAACTTTATTTTCAGTTCATTTATATTTATATATTGAAGTGTTGGTTTATAGGGATTTGGTTGGTTACAGGATTTCATCGTGAGCTGACATTGGTTAGAGAACCATTGGAAAACCTGGGAGTACTGGACACCTATTTCGTCCTAGTCTGGGTGGGTGCGTACTGATAGAGAGTCCCAAACTAGGACGAAATAGCCGCTCAGTACTCTCAGGTTTTCCAATGGTTCTCTAACCAATGTCAGCTCATGATGAAATCCTGTAACGAATCAATCGAATCTATGCAAACCAATACTTGAATATCAATGAGATGCACACTAGAGACTGGCCCTATTCAGGTAGGTGGTTACCTGGGGTCCTAGTGGAAAGTCTTGACCAGTAGGGATCAGCAAGTCAGGTGGGAGGACAAATACTCACCGAAGACATTGGCTAGCGGTCACGGTATGTTCTGAATTAGTAAAAGTTGGAATTCATGGGATGCCCCAGTAGCTCAATGCTCGCCTTGTAACCGTAAGGTCCTGGGTTCAACCCTGATGGTGGGTGTGTACTGGTGAGAAGTTTCAAACTATAACGAAGTAGTTGTCCAGCATTCCCTGATGGTTTTCCAGTGGTTGTGTAACCGCTGTCAGCTCAGGATGAAATCCTGTAACATTTATATTTAGTCAGGTAATCTCTTCACAATATCAAGTGACATTTCACTTAGTACACTCTTTATAACTTATTACGTTAGCTGGATAACTATTGAGACTTAGAGCCTGTGGAAAACTTAAACATTGTAGCAGTATGTAATTCACAAATATTCATTTGTTTATCGTATAGATCCTATGTGGGAGAGCTTCTGAAGTTAGATTGCATAGCAAAAAGGAGATAAGACGGGAACTAATACAAGCATATACATTTCACATCATCCTAATCTATTTCAATAAAAATGAGATTAAGTCTAATTAATAGAGAGAAACAACTAAAGAGAAAGTGTATAACATTAAATCCAATATATAAAAACACTTTTCACATTTAATAATTAGCCTGATAAATTTTTCCGGAAGTGTATAAAAGACTACAACAGTAAGAATAAAAATGATAACGCCAGTGAGGGGCAGTTCAAAACATTCCTAGTGTTGCCAGACACAGAAGCAGTCCTTGTAACTTTACGTAGGATTCTTAACAAGGCAGGAATAAAAGTGCCATTCAAACTAAAAAAGATAATAAACGGACTAATGTTGACAAGCGGATACTGTGGAGTCCATTAGCCTAACTAATTTGGTTCATGTAGTACAATTTAATGAATGTGGCGTCAAACCCACAGGTTACAGCAGCCTAGCAGGGTGATATAGTTTAGCGCAGAACAACAACTCAGAGAAATCAGGACCAGTAGTCCCTATGAAAATAAAAAATCTAGAAAAACCCTTAACCATAGCACTACATTCATTCATACACAACCATACGGGAGAATGGGAAAAAGTAACGGTTCTAATGTCTTGTAGTGACCCATTTTATTATTCATCATCGTAGTTTACTTTCGCTATGTAAATGGACTTTGATTTCTTTATCGCTCTAAAGATTGCTTGTTAAGAATTGATACATTGTACTCTCTTAGCTTTTGAATTTTGACAACTGCGAGAATACACGTCAGTACTCCTTCTCAAGCACCTTTTGATTTACGTTGTGGATGTCGAGTAATCACAATGTTAGGACACGGAGAATAAATGCGGAGAAGTTCTAGGATATACGTGTACGCTAGTTTGGTCAAGTAGAGCAATACAACAGCCTAGCAGAACAGAATGACAGGAGATTTTGATAATTGAAGCTTTGTTTATCATCCTGTAGGAATGATTCAACACCTATTCCCAACACCTGCGGAATTCTACTAGTTTACACTGAAGTTAGCGTTAAAAATGTTGTCTAGAAAACAACGGAATTTCAGTAGTTAGGCCACCCACCTCAAAGGATACAAACACATCAAAAGCACCTTCTGTGGTACTAACCTTCCCCATTATTTCAAAATTCTACTACCCTTACAATTAATGCGAATGAAGGAAAAGAACCATGCCAGCCAAGCCATTGAGTTAGGGTGTTATCATTTTGAGTAACACCACTTATCATATAGAAATCACTAGTTTTCTTCGTAATCTTTGTGCAATAAACAAGCTAATATGGAGTTTCCTGCTAATGCTATTTGTAATGCCTTTTTTTTCATCCGATTACCTCTTCCTTGTTTCAGGTAATCTACTGCCTAATAAAAATTGTTGGTGTATTTATTATTCAATGTCTATAAAGAGTTTAGATAATATGGGGTGAATGCCATTCGACTTGCCTAGATTTAACTATACAGTTTCCACTAGGAACTATAAAAACAGTCCTCTACAGTTATTAATCCTCATTGGTTCGGTTCACTGTTGTTTTGTGTCTTCCAGTATTTAGACGTAGAGAAATGTCATTAAAAAAAAAGATAAATGTCGTATGAAGTAGTATATCGCCACAATAATCTGATTCAGATTTCAAGTTTAATCACAAACTGACTTCAGGCAGAGAACCATTGAAAGTCAAGGAGTACTGGGATCCATGATCCTACTGCCTGGGACCCAAATGCACTACTTTAGGGTTGAAAAGAGAGCTCAATAATGATCCAGTCAGTTCATGAATAAACTTGAAATCATTCAAATCCCCGTAAAAAGCCATCACTTGAAAATTAGTCTAATTCTCACTAGTGATTGATTACAAGATGAAATTGCCTGAAGTTCAAGTGGTAAGTCATAACCGTCTGTTGTGATGACAGATACTTTCGGACGAAGCTGATTGGCAGTTACGCTATAAACCTCAAAATGGCAGAAGTTAGAACACACAGGTTACTGGAATTCGTTCCAGTGACTGGATAGTCAACGAGCTCATTTTGTAACCTAAAAGTCCTAAGCTTGATTCCTGTCAGGGTTATGGATGCGTACATTTGCAGAGTCTCAAATAAGGACGAATTGGGCATCAATTAATCCCTGATTTTGTTTTCAGAGAGTCATTTCATCATCAAACTTGAAATAAATGAAATTTAAAGTTTATTGTTATGAATTAACCAAGTAAGCACTATTTGCCTCCGTGTTAAAATTAGCTTAAATTAATTCTCTACATCTAACTATCAGCCATTTAAAACTTCCCTATTAACACTAACAAATGCTGCATAGGTGCATTTAGGAAAATAAGTCTTAGACATAAAGAATATTTTTCTCTGCAGCTTACGTCTTTCTTCTTGTTCAACAGATTCATCTTCATTTCTTTCATTTCTGTTAAATCTCCTATAATTGTTGTCTATTAAGGTAAAACAGAAATTAAAAAAAATAAAAGAGTTAGTGGATTTCCATCAGTTTGTGACTTCATCTGCACTGTGTCAAAAACCTTTCTCTTAATTCTTTTGCTTTCCCATTGGAGCATGGAGTTTCAAATTCAAGCCATGGAGGGTGGTGTAGTCTTTTGAGTGGTTTGGACTAATAGCCTTACGCCTAACATTCTTTCTTTAATGGGCTTACCACGGGTTGAGGGAGGTTTGAGAGTGCATTGATGCCTAGGAGTTGGCCTCGGGGAGAGTTTGATGGTTGTCGAGAGTTCTATCATTGAACTGTCAATTCACAGTAAAAAGTGTACTGAACTTTAAACTAATAAATCCCAATTTGATAAGTGTGTGTTGGTGACACACATAAAAATGCTCGCATACATGCCTTGGGGTTCAATCCCGGGCCGATGTACTCCTTCACGTCGCTAAGATAGTAATAAGACTGGTAAAGAGTGAAGGTTGGGCACGAGGCTAGCAACTCTCGTAAAAATGAGCACCACTGCTAGCAAAAATTTGAGCCTTCACCTTGAAGCCCTATGTTCTACTGGGAACATAAAGGAACAGAATAAATTTGATAGGTGTTCAAAATGTCCATTAATTTATATAATACAGTATGGCTATTATTACGATTATTACGAAGTGAAAATCCATGATGGTAACCTAAATAAATGTAGATTTCTACTGTATAGATTTTGAAATGGTTACACCAATGTGGCATTAAGTAAATAAATTATTTTCAGGTTTATATTTCTCATCGATTATGTTCCATGAAGTAAGCAAATGTATTCCACCGAGATGGTTCTCTTAATTAAGTAATTATGAAGTAAAATGAATAAAAAAGAACTGAACTGAGTATATATCCATGGAAGGAGACCAGTCACTCAGATAAGAACACTCACAGGCATTGTTTATCAAAGTAACCACCTCCAAAGCAAATGGTTCGCTGTTCCATTCTCCGCCTACACACTTCTGAACCTCACTCAGTCAGAAGTCAAATCAGTCAAGTAGGATGGTTTGACATTAGGCTAGCAACTCTACCCCTTAAAAAAAATACATCACCTCTTCTGAAACTTTAAAGCCCACGTTTGATGCTCAACGTTTCACTCGAAAGGCAAACGAACGAAAATAAGAGTATATATAAACATCATCACCATTCTTTATATTAATAAAATCTTAAAGTCATATATTGAGAATGCTTAATGCTGAAGTAATTCATATCCATCTGTTGACAACAAACTCCTTCGATTGCTTTCATTTCATTTTATTGCCTTCTGTATTCCAAGCCATTTATGGCATGTCTCTAACGTCAGAACACTTTTTGGTTAATTGCCTACTCTTGTGGCTTCTCAGTATATGTCGCCGTTGAGAATTCTTATCAATATTACATATTATGCTTATGTCCTATGGAAAGCTAAGTAACCCTATTGGTAAATATGATTAGTAAAGTTCGGTGAACACAACAGTCAACCTTGTGATATTCCTTACTGTTGAATGCTGAAAATTACTTATCTACATGAATAAGATATCTAACCGCATTCAGTTCAATTAGTGGAACACCTTTCAAGAATTGACAATGAAAATGATACTCACAAATATATTAGATTGAATTTAAGAAAAAATTATGATAAATTGTTGAAAAATCCCGATAAGAAAATTTGACAATATATACTGGCATAGATTTCTCTAGGTAGCAATGACACGTATGGAAGCAGGGATCTCAGGCACTTCTAATTAACTATCAATTTCCTTTTTAAATATGTTTCAATGGTTTAGTAGCAGAATGCTCGCTAAACATGCATATGGTCCTGGGTTCGCTTCCCAATTACTTACACACTGTTACACATCTCTTAGCCAATAGTAAAACCGTTAAAGAGGGAAGGTTGAGCATGGGGCTAGCAACCCCAATGCTACTGAAATTCCAAGAAACTGATGCTTGAAGTCCTATGTTTGAAAAGCACAAATGTGAAAATATATATATATATATCCTTGTATGTCAGTAATTTTTAGTTAAAATACTCACTTTCATTATTTCTGGGTAAACATTGCACATGGATAAGAAATATGCACAAATAGATGGCAGATATCATGACGATCTAAGAAGTACGGTTATAGTTTGTTCTCAGGGCGTATTTTTGACATCTTACCTTAGTAGTTTTTGTGTTAGACTGCATAATTCCAGAGGTGAACAATTTCTTCTGTTAATTATTATAATTAATGAATTAATTAATTGGTGAACAAGAGTATTTATATTTCAATAGTTGGAAAATATTCTCCCAAAAAACATCACATGTTCTTAGCATAAATCGTTTAATAAAATCGACTCAAAAGGTTGTAAAGAGAATTTGTTTATAGTAAAGTAAATTAGAATTAAATCACATGAAAGTTTCCCCTTTTCTAAATTCTTGGTTTAATTATAACTTTAGAAGTTTATTTAATGAATTACCTAATTACCGCGTGGTTTAAGCTCATGTTTCATATCCACGTTTTTTTTTTATATGTGATACTTTATTTGGGCTTAAACACTAATTTTTGGCTAGCTCCCACAACCGAAAACTTAAGTCTTAACTCATTTCAAAGACATGATTTTCTTAAATATATATATATATATATATAGTAAATGGCAAACAAAATGAGAGATATATTGAATTGAATTTTCGATTTTCCCGTCGATTGATTGGACCGAAGTGCTCGGTCTCAGGTTGACATGTCGGCTTCTTGTGCAGATGCTTCAACGATGTTTGGGGATTTAGTATTTAATTGGTTGTGGAGGTACACAAGAGGTGGCTTTCGTGGCCCAAGTGGTCTAGTGGATAACGCTTTGGCGTTTGAAACTATGGGCACTAGGTTCAAGCCTCGGTAGGAACATCATCACTCACTGAGAAATGCAGGTACATCTAGATGACGAGTCCCAAATAGGACGAGATGCGCATCCTGGATTCCACTGTTAGTCACCATCCACCAGTTAAAAGTGAGAGATATTTCTAAAGCCCTGAAAATCATTTTATGATTCTTTTTCTTTGCATTGTCAAATTGTTCCCGTCGGCAGACACTTATTAGGCAAATGACTGTATTTCTGTACGTGTGTTTCATTTAGACTTTCACACCTTCCGAAGAGTAAATAATCAATCCTTAGTAGACCTGAACGAGCTTGTGAGATGCAAACTATAGCCAGAAGGTGATTTATTTCACGTCATCAAACGAGCTTATTCATTCATTTCTATGCCATTATGGCCAGAAGCACAGAGTAGGAAATAAATCTTGTCTTTAATCATATTCTGAGGTGTTTAACTATCCAAGAGGAAAACTGGAAAGTAATGGAAAGCTGTTTCTCCCCACCTTGTGGTTCTTCAGTAGCAGGCTCTCACCGGGGTTCGACACCGGGACCTCCCGGTTACAAAGCAAGCTCGCCTACCATTCAGCTACTGGTACTCAATTCACTGGCTGATGAAATCCAAATTCTGCCTATTTGCGATATATGTCACAACCGCCAGCGAACGTCATCCGAAAGTAATTTTTCATGAGTGATCCTCGAACGACCGAGGAGCTAGGTATATTGGTCGTTCGACTTGAGTGTGCAAGAACACTATCCTGCATGGCTACGAAAAGGTGGAAGTGGAGCATTAAGAAGCGCGATCATTGAACGTCTGGTCGATAATGATCACCGTATCTCTATAGCCTCCGCCTTTAAAGTCATCTACAAGGCAAAGAGTAATCTACCCAAATCCCTACTTACCCGACTCATCTGTATTGCTGAAGCCAGTTTAGCTATCGAAACAGAAAAGCCAGATCTCTGTGTACAGAAAAAGGTTGTTCAACCCCTCCAACTTTCTTGGTCTTAACCGCTCTATGCTGAAGTATGGTAATCCCCAGTCACATTTTAGCTCTACCAATTTTTCATTTTCTCAATTTGTCTATTCAACTTGTATACTCTTCCTTATTAAGTCAATTGTTATTATTACTATTCTCACTTTGAACTGTCCCCCGTATTATTTCACTTGTTCCACTTGTCATTCTAAATCAATTCTTTTTTACAACTCTAAATTCTATGCTATTAAATTTCACACAATATTACGTAACGTTTTTGTTTTATTCGATTTGTCTACTAATCTTAAAATTGCATATCCTTTTTCAAGTTCTATCCCTCCTATGAATTATTCTATGTATATATGACATTAATTTGCTTTACCACTTGACATTTAACTACGACTATAATCACAAACATTTTAGTTTTAATTGAACTTCGTATGATTATTATTATTATTTTATGCATTCACACCTAAGTATCAATTCCCTCACCGGATATAACCTCTTAAAAACCATAAATATATACGACTGTACAGCTTGATGATAAATTCGTTGAAAAGAGTCTCTTCGTTGAATCACCACTTGTTTTGATTTTCTATATGTTACAATGGGAATTTTCCATGAGTTAAAAAAATAACAAAGATACATCTAATAAGCAAACTAATACCACAGTGCCCAAGTTTCACACATATATGATTATATAATTTCATGACTTCACTCAATCTGTGTTCTGTTTCATTGACTGAAAGGAGATAGTTATCAGTTTCTTAAACTAATTTGCTAGAATTAAAGCATTGCAAGTGATATAATATTATAAGGAAAGTTGAACTAATTTCTTTTGTTGCTAGGATACACTGATGTAGGCGTAAAACTTGGGTACTATGATAGTATCTAATTCCATATTATTTGTTTAATAGATATATCACACAGTAAAACAGTATTAATTACTAGATGACAAAAACCTAGCGAAATCTAGATAATTTAACCCTAATAAGATAAGAAATCTAGAACATATCTTAGCCATAACACTACATGCAACTACACACAACCATGCCTTAGCTTAGCTTAAGATGAAGGTCCTAAAATCCAGTATAACTGAGTGGATATCGATATTGATAATGGAAGCTTTATTTCACGAGTCAAATGAAACAGAACACGTGTAATAGGAATAATTCAACGTCTGTCCCACAAATCTGGAACAATGTGCTTCCCCTACGACGAATGGAAAGGAATAAAGACAACTATAGAACGAAAGTTTCAAAGTTGTGTAGTTATGATTGATGTTGATGATGAACTTTGCTTATTTGTGGGTTACTCATAGTTATTAAATGTAAATACTCATCTCTTTTCACTCCTATTTAGATAAATTCTTTATCATTTATCAAACCTCATGCTTCATGTGACTGATATCTAGCTGAGTGAGCTTAACTCATAGAATATATTTTTTAGTAACAATTTTCTAGTGAATTACGTCATCTTATAACATATATGCTACAGTCTCTTGTTACCACCTTTGCTCCAGACATTTTGTGTTTTTTATTCCACAAAACCTCTGTCGTAATAGTTATTTATGTGTGGCAATAATTTTATGCTTCATTAATTTAACATTTCAATCCACTAACATACCATGATAAATCCTAATTATTTACATATAATGGTGAAGGCTGGTAGCTCAAATGGATGATTTCGGTATAGAAGTGTTCTCTGAGCTCAACAGTTTGTCTGCGAAGCTTTCGTTGTCTAGTCAGACTCTGACTAGACGAAACTGCTGTCCAGTACTCCCCGAGTTTTCCAGTGGTCATCTAACAGATATCAGCTCGTGAAAAAATCCTCCAACCAACCAAACAAAATCCCTACTTGGAAATTATTAATGTATATAAACCGGTAAAACAACACATACTACTACCAAGTAGACAAACATTGAGCTATTGCATTTTTAATATTCAACTTTTCAAATAATGAGGTGGGATTTGTAACTCAGATGATGAATGTTTTTCATAGGATTATATTCTGTGTTGAATGATTTAATTGCAAGCATACCTCACTGTCTTTCTAGACAACGTTTTCAGTGCTAACTTCTCTATGAAGTGTTTACATTCCCTCATCTTTTTACTGTAACTGTTTTCTGTGAAAATACAAGCTTTCAGTAGAAATAATTTCAACCCTTCATTTTGCCTATCAACTAACATCTATTTATTATTTATTGTTCCCTTGGTTCCGAGTGGAACACAAGGCTTCAGCAGCACACGTCTTTCCTGTAGGTTCCTTCTTTGACTGCCTTCCACAATTGCCTATAAGCTTTCATATCCTCCCCATATGGTCTCCTCCATGTCACCATCTAACCGACACGCAACTCGTCGTCTCCCACCAGAGGCATGTCCTAACGCGTAAATTCACTCAATGATCTTCTCAGGGTGTCTCCTACCCATCACAATTTCTTTCCGGTGTATTTGCTGAGCAATAAGTTCTTGGTTGGTTCATTGATGAAAGTTCCTTATTGCTAATCTTTTGTCCTTTGTAAAGAATGTAAAATGTTACGTAACATGGTGTGAAATTTGATAACATAGAATTTAATATTGTAAAAATAAAGATAAAAAGTATACACATGAATAATTTTTTTTTTGGTTTAAAATGTCAAGTAGATCAAGTGGAAAAGATTCAGAATGAGAGTCGTAATAATAATGATAATGATAATAATAATAATAATAATCGAAGTAATAAGGGAAAAGTACATAGAATAATAAAATAAATAAATGTCTATCCCTCTACGGCCAAGGCAGCAGTAGGGATTGTACATACTTCTTTTGTACACAAAGGTCTGGCTTAAAGTCATGAATTGCCAAGGCCTCAGCTGTCTTTAGAAGTCTGTAACGAAGAAAACGCGGGAAGTTGGCATGAATTCTATATAAGACCTTGAAATCATGGTCAGGGTTGACCGCGTGACAGGAGTCGATGAAGTGTTCTAAGATAGAGCTTCGCACACATTTCCTTTCTCCCTTGTAAAACCAAGCTGGAATATGTTCTCGTATCCGTGTGGAGAGCATTCTCTGACTACGGCCAATATACCTTGCTCCACAAGAGCAGGTGAACTGGTAGATGCACATGGAGGCGGTCAGACGGGGGAGCTTATCTTTTACAGAGGTAGAGAACAGTTTGCGGCTCGTGAACGTCATATGTAATCTAGCTGCAGGGAACGTTTTACTAACTGATTTAGAAAGACGATTTTTGAGCATATCAGAAGCTTGATCTCCTTTGAATTCCAAGTTCACGAATAGGGTTTTCTTTGGAACTGAGTCAGTGACCAGCTTAGACTGCTTATCTTTCATGTTGCTGTCAATAAATCGGTTAGGGTAACCGTTTTCTGCGA